AGGTATTTACATCTCTCGACGTTTCGACTAGGTTGCACTAGCCGTGGTCACGAGCTGACTGGAGTAACAGCGATGTCAATGTAGATAGGTGACAGCAGTTTTTTCTTCATCTACCGTCACTAGATTGTTTAACGAAAGTTCGCGACACACAGCACTCACGGTATCCGTACACCTAACCGTAACCTAGTCGAAACGTCGAGAGAGGTAAATACCTGTTAAGACCCGGTTAATAATTTAAATAATATATATTAAACACGAAGGTTTAAAATTAACTATTTTGTATCAATTGTCCAGGGGTATTATTATTATTTTATGTCACACTTCGTCACTCTCCACGCCTTAAAGTGTGACGATTTATGGATGACTCCTAAATACATATATTTTGTTGCAATTTTATTTATTTACAATAATTTTATTGAAGTTAAGACTAAAATCTTATGTGAAGTTGCACTTATTTTGTTTGAGAGTAGCGTGCGAATTTTGTAACTCGGCTTCACACAAATGGAAATAATGTATTATAAATATACGAATATTTTCAGCTATTGTCATTTTATTTTTCGCGTATTATGGCCCGCGAGGCGGGAACATGTTTTTTCTATTGATGGTAATGACATAGTGCACCTGCCTGCGCTAACGGTTTACTATGGCGGGACACCAATGGAGGGTGATAAGATGAAGATGAAGCCAGGTCAGTTAGCCCATCGTGACAAAATCACCAAGAATTTATCATGATGGTTTCCAGATGGAACCGCGTGGAGATCAACCTGACAGGGTACATTGCTAGCAAATTACATCATATATCCACATTACGAACAATTTTTGGTCACATGATGGGGACGGCAGGACCCCAATCGGATATAGTCGATATTTTTCATCGATGAAATTTTTCTGTGCCTGTCTACCACCGTTTCATTCAAAGATTGAATTAAGGTTTGTACAACATACAGCGATTAGAAATAGAAATAATCTTTATTCAAATAAACTCGTTACAAGCATTTTTGAATAGTCATATTTTTATTTTACCACTCATTCGGAATGCAGATTCATCACAAGAAGAATGAGCAAGAAACTTGTGTGTTGCTCTTTTGAATAGTTTTTTTTATATAAATAATTACAGTATAACAAGTAAGAGGCATACGATAATCAACATAGAAATCGCTACGCACTAATTCGATTGATTAATTAATCGATATAAGGAAGTCTTTTAAGTTTTCTTTTAAAAGATCTTAAAATTTTGCTACAAATATAAGATGCTAAGACTGCGTCATATATATAAACAATGGCTAAAAATAAAACTTCGGTCTGATGATCATTATTTGATTTACGACCTTATGCTCGTAACAATATGTCATGTATGCAAAGGACGTCACAGCTGCAAAGACAACATGTGGATTTAATAATAGGGCGCCAACACATTTCGTATTTAAAAATCAGTCTTAACACATCGTTTTAAAGAATATTCTCCATATTGTTTGCCTCAAAGTTATTTTGTATGAGGTCAATGTCAAGTGCTGTTTGATAAACTACGCAAGTTTGTGCAGAACGGGTTAAGTGATTGATAAATGAAATTGATAATGTAATAAAGTTAGTATATATCCATTTTTTTTATGAAGAATGAACAAATAAATAATGCACCCATCCGCGCTAACGGTTTACGCTGGCGGGGCACCAGTGGAGGATGATAAGATGAGCATGAGGTCAGGTCAGTTAGCACATCTGGACAAATATGTCAAATATCACTAGGAATTTATCATGATGTTTCTAGGGAGAACTGCGCGGATGTCAACCTGACCTGATATATTGCAATGGAGTTGTCCACATTTCTAACAACCCCCTTCCCTCCAGTACTTTTACTAATAGGGTACATTAGTAAAAGTACTGAAGGTCCCGGGTAGCTATTAGGTTATAATAGTTTTAACTCATATAGGCGTATATAACTAAATATTATAATATAAAGCGTAAATAACAAAGTTTAAAAGTTTAAGTTTACTCGCCGATCGGATCGTTCGTTTGTTTTTTTTATTATTTCTTAAGAAATAGTACAAGTGATTCTAAATCGAATCGTTTCTTTCTTACCTTTTAATCAAAAATTAGAATTACAGACAACTCTCTAAACTAGTAAAGTTACAACATTTATTCAAAACAGTAACACTTTTTTTTGTGATGAGATAGATCTGGATCTGGAATTTGTAGCGGTAGATTAAAAAAAGATACTAAAAGTGACTATTAAAAAGTGCTTAAATTTAATTTTTTTTTTTAATTGCCCACAAAGATTATTTAGGCTCTGGCCTCTGACGTTCCGTTTCAGGTTTACTCTGAATGCCTTAGATACAGAAAACATGAATCAACTATGTGTATTTACTTTACCATTTTTAATTCTAGGTGCCTCACACGCACTCACACAATAGTGATAAACATTTTTATGTATAAATACCGCCTGTGTTAACGGTAGGTATACCTCCGGGATATCAGTGGAGGACCGTTCACGAGGACAGGAGGCCGTTCTCGAGTTTTAGAGAGACTAACGAACAGCAATTCATTTTTGTATATATAGATGTACATAGGTATTCAATACGTTATATAAATAATACATCGACGTCAATTTAATATGAATGAATTATAATTAATTATATATGGCGAAACAGTTGAGTGAAACAGCTGCATACAAATAAATATGACGGTTCACTAGCGCACGCAGCAAGGTTTTTAAAAACGATAGAGGGTGCATGTACTTCAGATAGTAAGGTGGTATTAGAGATGTGTAATAAACATGACTCGAGTTGAAATTCAGGTAACTCGGGTTAACTCGAGTTGCCTACCGTACGAAACAGTTTTTTTTAATTCTTCGAAGTATTTTAATGTTGTTGGCCGTAGCTGGCCTTGACAGCTTCACCGAATTAAAGGGGGCGAGTGGAAATGGCACTCAAACCCGCGGAAAGACTTATGGAACGTGTGCGTCACTGCAGGTCAATTCCTTCTCTATTTGAGTGTTTTTTTTACGTGATTCTCTCGATCGTTCGTTCTTCTCGTGATACTCGAATAACGAACTCTTATATCCTATATATTTAAAATGAATCCGAGCATTTCATATATTTTACACGTCCATTCATTGGCGATTCGAAAATGTTCCAAACAACGGATTTCCTCATAAATCCCGGCATTTCTCCCAACTCGAGTTGACTCATCTCTAGGTGGTATATATTATAGTATAATGATAATAATAATAACCCTGGACAATAAACATAGTGCCATCTAGTTCCAAACTAAGTGAAACTTGTGTTATTTATGGGTATTAAATATCTCATACAATTACTTCAAAACTTTAAAAACATACATAGAAAATAAGACCAAGTGACACATATATAATGTTTGTACCGTACTAGGAACGAACCCACGACCACCGGTAGTAAGGCGGTGTGCTAAAAATATATAAATTAATACCCAGGATTAATGTCATTGTCAAATAGTGCTTTGTGGCGTCTCTTGCACTGGTTACAACTAACAACCTTATGTTAAACCACAGATAACATATTGTTAAACGTTAACAAAATGTGTTAATTTTTCGTAAATAAAATAATAATGTCAGTCTTATTGTAATTTAATTTATCTAGCCATATTTAATTTTTATTTGTAATTTGACAGCGTCGTGGCAGCCCGTCACGACATATGCTGAGCGGAGACCTATTTGGTACAGTAATTATTAATATAAAAATGTAAATTAAAATTTAAAAATTATTTTCAGTGTACCAAATAAACAGTTTTCTTTCTTTCTTTTCTAATAATTATAATATCTATTAATTTAATTAATGGTGATTAAGAGCTATAGCTGCTGTATTCTACAGATTAGAATTACTTAGTGTTTTTTTTTCAATCAAAATCGTATGACTCCTAAGTGTATAAGCCACACTTCATAACCCTGATGTGTGTGGTGTCGTAATATTATATTTTATGTTTTAAAATTATTATCAAAATTTTATTTGTCCTTCTACCTATCCAGTAATAGGTTGAGTTAGAGATAAAATTTAGTAGGTGTACTTATAAAAACGTATAAAATTACTAGCAGACCCGGCCACGCGTTGTGTGGCTAACAGTTTCTTTATATATAAAAATAATTTGCAATAAACTAATATTGCGACTATAAATTGAGATGTAAGCTATTCTATCTTTCTAGTTGGATCAAATTGCACACAATGTGCAAATCAAATTTGCAATCGGTTCAGTAATTTAGGAGTCCATCGCGGCAACGTGACATGTAATTTTTATATATATAGATATATTGTTTAAAAATATTTTTGTTTCGAAATGGTATTAAAATACCTCTTTACTTCTGGTTATTATCAATGTGCCTTCATTACTTTTTTAGTATGGTTTCACCAGGTTAACTGGTCCTGTTTATCAGATTACAAGAAAATATTTATATTTATCTACCTGATTGATTTAGATTACATTGCATCTGAAGATTGCACTAAATACGCAACTGATTTAACATTATTAGACAGTTATTAGATGGTAGGTATTTAAATACATTTATAAACAGAGGAAACTAGATAAAGCTTTAAATATAGATATTTATCGTAAAATTCAAGAATGCATGTCTGTGCGTAATACCACAGTAATACATAAATAAAATAATCTCGCACTTGCAAGTGCGGTAGCAAGCCAAGGAACTTTGGATTCCGCGGTAAATCGCGTACTTCCCGCACTACCTATTGCAAAATGGGTCATAAAATTGTATTTCCGCGAGCGACGGACCTACCAGACAATAGGCGACCACCAGCATTGTCTATTGTCATCGCCAGACACGCCGCGATGAATGGGACAAGTTCATTCCGATCCGGCCCACATTTGGAGTCAGACGAAGACAGACATATACGACAGCCGGCCGGCAGGAACGAGAAATGAGCAAGAACGGTGTCGCGGACACTAGGAATTATTGTACCGCTGCTTGACTTGAGTTTTGTTTTGAGGCGGTTCGTCCAGTTCAGTTAGACCGCGGACGGCGCGCGAGTCGAACCGTTCGTTTGGTAGTTTATCCGCTCGGGCGGCGTTCGTAACATGAACTCGCATTTCGATACGTGTCGCGGCTCGCCGCGCTCGCTTCGTCGATAACATCTGCAAATCCGATAGTGATAGCGCGATACGGCTCGATTTCGTGTCAAACGCGACAGTCTGCCGCGAGCCATGTGATCGCTCCCGCCGATGGGAGCGAGGAGCGAACAAAAAAGCCGCCCGCTAATGTCTACCCCTCCCAGTCGCTACAAAAAAGGGATAAAAAGAATATTCCTGGAATGCGCACATGTGGACGCCGGGTAACTGAGGCCTTCATCGAGTCCGCAGTGTCGTCACGATGCCTCGCAGGAACAAGTGGACACATCTGGCTGCGGGCGTCGTCGCCGGCGTCCTGCTCGGCATGTTCATCAAAATGTGCTCGTGGACTTCCTCCAGGACAACGATGGAAACCTGTCCGCAATCCGCGAAAGCGTACGTCGCCCCCGACCCGTACGCCTTGATAGGCCTCGGCCCCGAAGAGACAGTGCAAAATTCTAACAGGACTTTAGTTTTCGTGGGTGTTATGACGGCGGAACAGTACTTGGATACTAGAGCTAAAGCAGTGTTCGAGACTTGGAGTCAAGATTTGCCGGGTCGTATTGCGTTCTTCAGTTCGGAAGTGTCGCGAGCTCCAGGATTGCCTCTGATTCCATTACGGGGTGTGGACGACAGTTACCCACCGCAGAAGAAGTCATTCCTTATGTTGTTGTACATGTACGAGAAATTTGGCGATAAATTTGAGTGGTTCATGCGTGCGGACGACGATGTTTACGTTAGAGGTGATAAGATGGGGGAGTTCTTACGGTCGGTGGATAGTCGAAAGCCTCAGTTTATAGGGCAGGCTGGCAGAGGCACGAACTCTGAGCGGGACGCATTAGCGTTAGACTATAATGAGAATTTTTGCATGGGCGGTCCCGGAGTGTTGTTTTCTAAGGAGACCTTACGGAGGGTGGCTCCCCACGTGAAGTACTGCCTCAAGCACCTATACACGACGCATGAGGACGTCGAGCTCGGCCGCTGTGTTGCCAAGTTCGCCGGCGTTTCCTGCACATGGAGTTACGATGTAAGTGTTTAATTGTTTACATATAATATTTACATGTAATTCTATTTCATTTTCAGATATGTACCTACTAATGTATTTTACTAAACGTTAGCTCATGACTATACTTTGTATTTTATCGTAAGTGTTAGTGTTGTGAGTTACAAATTATGTTGTTTATACAATGTACCGTCATGGTAGGTAGATCGTTACATTACTTTAAAATGCACTCGGTTTAAGGTTCATGATCATTGTGTTGTCAAACAATGAGTAACCATAATAGATAAGTACCAACAGTGTTTGCTATGAATACTATAAACTATGATAAAAATAACCCGGAAAGTGTATATTTAGACAAAGTCTAAATTTTTCATATAATTTGAATGACATACTAGCAGGGGATGTGGTTGCTGTTACCATATATGAATAGTATCCAATTCAAATTGGGATCGTATTTACGACGCTTACAGGTTCGAACTCCAAGTCAGACTAAAGTCGTATCCGTCAGGCGGGAGTTGGCCTTCAGTCGCTCTATAAGTCCTTCTACGGGTTTGGAGTGCCATCTGCACTCGCCCACAATCGTTCTGTGAAGCTATATAGTCCAGCGGTCGATAGCATCAGAATAGTTCGAAAAAAAAGGCATTACGTTATCATATAATACCAGTCATTTCAAAGGACTAAGATGTTATACCTCTATATCCTGTGATTTAACTACCTTTTTATTAACATATCATTCGTGGAGATCTTTGGGGGAGGCCTATGTCCAGCAGTGGACGTCTTCCGGGCTGCGATGATGATGATGATGATGATATAATCTTAATCATTACTTAGTATAAAATAAAGTCGCTCTCGCTGTCTGTCCCTATGTATGCTTAAATCTTTAAACTACGCAACGGATTTTGAAGCGGAGTTTTTTAATAGATGGAGTGATGCAAGAGGAAGGTTTATATACATAATACATACATACATGTACATTTTAACCGAAAGTTTGTGAGTACTAATTTGTGAGATATTTGTTACTCTTTCATGCAAAATTTACTGAACGGATATTAATAAAACTTTACAGTAATATAGCTTATACATCAGAATAACATATCTAAATATACCTATATAAATTCAAATTCAAATTCAAATTCAAAAATCATTTATTCATGTAGTTTTAGCTAGAACGTAATATTATAACCGCGAAAGTTTGTGAGTACTAATTTGTGAGATATTTGTTACTCTTTCATGCAAAATTTACTGAACGGATATTAATAAAACTTTACAGTAATATATTAATATTATGAATATTGCTGTTTTTTGCAAATACATCAGAATAATATATAAATTGAGAAGCTAAATATACCTATATAATTCAAAGGTGACTGACATAGCGATCTATCAGCGCACAGCCCAAACCACTGGACGGATCGGGCTGAAATTTGGCATGCAGGTAGATGTTATGACATAGGCATCCGCTAAAAAAAGGATTTTGATTAAGTCTACCCCCAAGGGGATGAAATAGGGGATGAAAGTTTGTATGAAACTTTGTCAATTTTAAACCGATCTGGCTGAGACTTTGCATGCATAAGGCTACTACCATATAGGCATCCCCTAAGAAAGAAAATAAAAGTAAAGCCGTAAAAACTATACCTAATTAATAATAATACTTCTTAACGCGAGCGGAGCCGCGGGCAAAAGCTAGTAGGCTATAAATTTCATGCGGGTGATTAAGAGAGGAGTTAAGAATAACTAAGCAGCAAACACAACTGAAATATTTATCTTTAATCGATGACATATTTGGATAGCTAATGTAATGACCTTTTTTCTGCCCTTAGCATCATCTGTAGATTGTTGCATGTCAATTATCACACTAATTCAGTTAATCTCAGAGTACCTAGTAGAATTACCTTTTATGCTAGTAGAAAAATTACTATATTTTTTAAAAGAAACATAACTATATTTAATATTATAATTTACTAGCTGTGCCCGCGGTTTTTCCCGCAGGAAATTTGTAGCCTATGTGTTATTCTGATGTATAAGCTATATTACTGTAATGTTTCAGCAAAATCCGTTAAGTAGTTTTAGCATGAAAGAGTAACAAACATCTATCCATCACTCAGAAATTTTCTCGTTCAGAATATTTAGTAAGATTTTTCTATAGGTATTGTATTTTGTATTATATTATACATTAGGGATCCACAAATTCAATGCACCCGCATAAAGCCGCGGCTGGTCACTAGTTAATAATACTAGTAGGTAGGTGTTAAGGAATTTGCAGTTGTTATTCACTTTTAACTGCTTCTTAGTTAACGGTACTCCAAGATTACCTACGTGCAAAGTTTATATGTAAACGTTGATACATTCACTTTAAATTTTATGGTACAGCGCAGATAATTTTTTTTGTTATGTAAATATGTACAAAATATACATGGAAAATAGCCAGACCGATACAATCGTACTTATAAATATAAATGTTTATACCCTGCCAGGAATCGAATTCATCACATGTGAAGTAAGAGGGTGTCTTAAACCGCTATGAGTACTAGACAACTGATATAAATACATAGACATTTTTTTTTAATTTTCTGTAAATACCTATATATACATAGAAAACACTCAGTTCAGATACAAAAGAATCATACTCATGAATACAAATGTATCGCGCCAAGAATCGAATCGAAAGTAAGGTAATGTGCTAATCCGCTACATCACTGAGACCGAGACTTAAAGGAAATTATACAACGCTATACAATACAAAATTTAAGGCGGACGGAAAGAGGTTTGCTATCATGTCAGGTTGAGCTCCACGTGATTCCCTCTGGAAACCAGGAACAGCTACTCATCCATAATAAAAAAAGAACTTTAACTGTTGAGTTCGCTAAAAGTGTGTAAGTAGGTACTTCGTAACATGAACACGCGCTTGGATTATGTGTTTACTGTTTCATTTATTCACAACGCTATGCCCTACTTCGCTATTTTGTAACTATACAATAAAAACTATTCATGTAATAAAAAGTTTGCCATGTGAACGGTCATCAGTTGCTGATAACTATTGCATATTAGTATACATTGTAATTAATATTATAAATAATAGAAAAAAACATTCGCAAACTTATAGAAGGAAACTGCGAAATCTGTGTAACTCGCGTGTTTAAAAAAGTCAAATTAATACTTTTAATTCTTTGTTTGTTGTATAAAAGAATACTTTATAAGTTAATAAGTTATAATAGTTAATAAGTTGCCGGGACAGCTAGTACCGGCAAACGTTGTATTGCCTTAAAATAAAAAAAAAAAAATTACGGGTGGACTACCCCTGACATTTAGGGGGATGAAAAATAGATGTTGGCCGATTCTCAGACCTACTCAATACGCTCACAAAATTTCATGAGAATCGGTCAAGCATCAAACGAAAACTGTGACACGAGAATTTTATATATAAGATAAAGTCATCTATTTATTTATTTTATTTATTCTTTATTGGGGGTCGGGTTATCGGGTTCCCTAAAATATGGTCGAGCGCAGTGATGGCTAGCTCATCCGTCATACTCGTGAACGAGTGCTGCTTGTAGGGACTGGTCTGCTCTTATCACTAAGACTGATTTAATATTATTGTATATTTTTATTTGACTTAAATAAATTAGGAGGTTGGTAGTTTGTATTCACACGCTTCGACTTGTAAATGTAAATTTACAAGGATTATTTAAAAGAGCAACACAAAAGTTTCTTGCTCGTTCTTCTTGTGATGAGACAGTTTTCCAAACGAGCGGTAGATAAAAAAAATGTTATGACTATTCAAAAGTGCTTAAATTAAGTTTATTTGAATAAATGATTTTCTATTTCTATTGCATTCATCATCTGCTTCTTCCTTATCCCATTTATTTGTGGTCGGCGTAATGTTTCTCTCATCCATTCATCCCTGTTCGCAGTCATCTCGTTATTTACTCTCTTTTGGCGCCTGCGCGCGCCCGGTCGCTCCTCTGATCGATCTCCCGTCCAATTTAAACGGGGATCGATATTACGAAGGCCTGAGCCGAGGTTCGAACCCCTAGCGGTGCCCTCAGACTAAAGTCGTATCCGTCAGGCGGGAGTTGGCCTTCAGCCGATCCATAAGTCCTTCCGCGGGTATGGAGTGCCATCTGCACTCGTCCGGTGTAGCTGTAAAGGCCAGTTGCGGCCAACAGGATTAGAGTAGTCCGAAAAAAAATGGAAAAGGGATTGTTAGTAATGAGGTCTGATGATCTTCTTGCTAACAATGCACCATGTCAGGTTGAACTCGACGCGGTTCCCCCTGGAAACCTATCTAAGAATACATTAAATAAAAAAAAAACATTACACACACTACCATTTATTTGACCTTGAAGAGAACCTTAATAATGTCACCTACACACGGTCCCCCCTGGAAACCTTCGTAATAAATTCTTGTTAAATTTGTCACGATGGGCTAACTGACCTGACCTCATGCTCATCTTATCGTCCTCCACTGGTGCCCCGCCAGCGTATACCGTTAGCGCAGACGGGTGCACCATTCGATTATCATCCATAAAAAAGAAGAATCCATCAGTATTCTCCCTAGCAAGGTGTAATATTCTCAATTTATTCCCAGATGTTCACTGGAAGTGTTTGGTTGTTGCGTAGCTGTAACCTGTATGATAAACTTTATTTCTTGCTTATTAAATTATTATCTAAGTAGCTGATATACGTTTCGTCGAAGTCAAGGTGAACATAACGAAGTGGCGCCACTTCTGCACTTGATATCTGTAATTTTTGAAACAAATTAAAACAGATATAGAAAGACAGACTATTTCCTGCTATTTTGTCTTCCTTTAATCAATAGATAATCTAAGTCTGTTATTTATCTTTACGTCAAATTACGTCAAAAACCGATCAGCCTTTTGCATATTCAGAAATTCCTATGTAATAACCGATTTTTATTAATACTATTTAAAATGAACATCTGTTTTGGAACAACTGGATATCAGAACCCGTCTCTCTACTGTGTGCTTCCAGCGTCTGCTAACTTTTTTCGGCCACGTGGCCCG